TTGGGGATGGGTATGAGTTATTGGATACCTTCAGGTTTCTCTGCTATTTTACTTTTATCTATTATGTTCCGTAGTGACTAAATATCTAGGAATAGTCACTGTAAACCCTGATACACAAACCCTAGGATCTTCCATGCTAAAGTATATCATTAAGTTTTTGTTTTTGTTTTGTTTTGTTTTGTTTTTTAGTGTAGATAATTCCCTCTATAATTTGTTCATGCCTTCTCATTCTGAGCTGTATGTGGTTATGTTTTTTCATCAATCTTCCACGATACATCCTCTCATTGTGCTGAAGGTCTTTTTCTAGGTCCTGGATTCTAATGGAGCAATTAGGCTGTCAGTTTTCTCCCATTCTGTTCAAGTTATCAGCCTGCCTCCTTTTGTGATACCATCCTTCATTGCTAGTTTTCTCACATATGTCATTATTGGAATTTGTTGCCATTTAATTCTACTCATCAGGAATTTCTCCATAGTCCTTTAGGCTACCAGAAATTTTGATACCTGAGTCAAATGTTTTTGTCTTTAAAAGATGGATTTTTGTATCAGGCAATAGTTTGAAATCATTAAAAGTACTTTAGTTTCCCACGTTCAATGCAACATAGTCCAGCTACACTGCTTGTCCCAGAAATGTATACAGATGTGCTAATTCAGTAGTCTGGCCATCCAGGTTATTCGTGGCATGTCAGTCATCAGTACAATAAGCATTTTTTTATCCCCTTAGCTTTTCCTTTATTAATACTTAGGCCTGTGGCTTTTGAGTAATCTTGGCAGTCAGTTCAATATCTGGTTGAATAAGATGGGTTAAGGCCGCTTCATCAAGTGAGAGAGAGGTGAAGGAGGGAAGAGTGGCAGAAGGCACCTGAGTGATAGGAGATGAGGAAGAGGGGAAAAGAGGAAGTTCACAGAGAGTAGCCTCATTTTTTTTCCCTAGAAAATATGAGGCAAGAATCTCAGCTGAGAGGGGAGAAGTAGGGGTAGCCAAGGGAAGGATGAGGTTTGGAAGAACTGCTGTGGAGAGTGGGATTTTTTAAAAAATGTAGAAAATCCTGTGTCAAGGCAAGGAGGTGGGAATAAGGCCGGTTTGGCAGGAATGTAGGTTATGTGAACAGAAGTAAAGTGTAATAAGCCTGGAAAAGTGATCTGAAATAAGATTGCAAAGGGTTTTTTTTTTTAACAGGAACAATTTATTTGACTTTGACATCTAGAATCTATAAGAAACTTCTTGCAAACTTGTAAGAGCAACCAATATCCAGAATTGTAAAAGTAAAGCACATTTTTAACACCCCCCCCAAAAAGAATAACAAATTTTAAATGTGAAACATTCAATATCCTTATTGAGCAGAATATTATCGAATAACCATTTGGGGCCTCTTCACACAGTTCCTCCTTGTTGCTGTTTTTTTCCCCTACCTTTGTCAAATCCTTAAGAGTTTTCTTAAATGGAAAAAGAGATGTTTGTTTCATAAAGTAAAGATAACACTTATTGGAAGGGTCAGGGGAGCCATAAACCAGACATTATGAATTAATGAAAAAGCATTTATTGAACTCCTATTTCTGCTAAGTTCCAAGTACTGTGCTCAGCACTGGGGATAGCAACTAGAGAAAGATAGTCTATGGTCAAGTTCATACTTGGGTGGAAGACAACACATTAGAGTTCAGCTGTTGGGCAAATGAAAAGACTTTTCAGAGTCCTAAGTCCTAAAAGTCATAAGAATGCACCAAAAGAGCAGATTGCATGGCCCAGGCAGGCATCTTTAGATTGTCAATAGTTGAGATGATAGTGGGGAACTGTAGGGTATACAAGCAGGCCAGGTGGTAAAGGTAGGAAATTCTTAGAAAGTGTCAGGGCAAATGGGCTAGGTTTGTTTCACATTCTGTCGTACCTGAAGGAAAGTTTAGTGACTCCCTTTAACTGAAGTCATACGAGCAGTCTAGCAGTCTGGATTGGTTTCTGGGTGGTCTGGGGCAAGAGTTGAGCAAGTCAAAGTTCATTTGGATCTGAAAGAGATAAGGATATCTGCCTTTCTTTTATTAGTAGTACATGTGAACAGTTTTATAGTTGCATGTAGTATATATTTCTTTTTTGTTGTATTATTAAAAAATTAAAATAGCACATAGAAAAACCAAAAAAGCATATGAAGAAAATGACCAGAGTTAGCCATGAAATACAGCTCCGAGACAAGGGGGAAAAATTAAAGAGAAAATGATTTGGAGATTATATTGCAGCAGTAAACAGAATGACACTTTCAATTCACTGTTGGTTGAGTCTTCTCACTTCTTTCTAGTTGCTTCTGTGGCTGATCTTTGAGTTTCAGCATTGCCTTCAGCTTTTGAACAAGCAGAAACATATTTCCACTCAACATTCATGTCCTGAGTCACATTATCCAGCTTAGTGAGGTGGTCTCTGTGGACAATGTCTTTATTTTGTCTTGTTTTCCAGCCATTTTCTTTCTAGTTATTAATCCAGCCATTCCTACGTTTGGTGACAAGTTGGTTATTTTGCACACAATGAGTTTCTCAATGTGTTGAGCCTTTGCTTGCTCAATCCCTTTGGCAGCTGCTTCTGATGATGCCGTTTGGTTTGTCTGTCATTCAGAATGTGTCCCACTTATATTTAGATCATGGTCTGGTCCCCAGTAGACACCAGTACCTCTTTTGGCTCTTCTCTTCCATTATTTTTGCAGGCATCCTTGACGTACACAGTGTTAGGGTCTGATACCTAGTGTGGTGGCCTGTACTGACTTCCACAGCCTCTAGTTTGTCAACCATAGGCATAGCTCCATGAGCCCTGAGGATTGTGTTTCCAACTCATCTCCAGTCGTAGGTAATCAATGCCAGGCTTGGGGCTCAGCTAATAAGTGCCACTGTACACTGCCAGACAGGGTGATCTCTGAAGGTGCAGTGGAGGAGGTGGGACTTTGGAATTGCTTTTGGGAGAAGGGTGTGTTGAAAGGAAAATTTGTCATTTGGGTTTTCACTCTGATTAATGAGGCAAAACTCAGAACAAAGAGAATTATCTGAGGTGAAATTTGAACTCAGGTTCTCCTTACTCTAGGTCTGGTGTTCTCTCCACTTAAACAAAAACCGTTAAACATACATTTCTATGCTATTGTTGTTAAGTAAAGTCAAGGTAGCAACACATTGACAGGTTTTAAATGCCAGAGGAGTGTATATTTTGTTCTATAGACAATAGGGAGCCACCAAAGGTTTTTAAACTGGGTCATGATATTTCTTCCTGTATGCATGTTTTCTCTTGTTTGATTGATCCGTCATTTACACAGTTGCCAAAGTGATATTCTTAAAACATAGGAAGATCATGTTGGTAGCTGTGTGGAAGATAGAAGGGAGAGGGAAGACACCTGAGGTAGGGAATCCAATTAGGAGATTATTGCAGTTATTTAGCCAAGAGTTAATAAAGGCCTTAATTAAGTTATGAGTGTAGGGAAGGGAGGGAATGGATAAGATGCTATGGAGGTAGCATAGAAGTGTATGTTTAATGGTTTTTGTTTAATGGAGAGAACACCAGACCTAGAGTAAGGAGAACTTGAGTTCAGATTTCACCTCAGATACTTACTAGTAGTAGTGTGACCCTGGGCAAGTCACTTAACCCTGTTTGCCTCAGTTTCCTCATCTGTAAAATGAGGTGCAGAAGGAAATGTAAAACCACTCCAGTATCCTTGCCAAGAAAACCCCAGCTATGATCACAAAGATCTGGATATGACTGAAACGAATGAACAGCAACAACAAAAAAAGTACATGATGTTTCTTTTTTCCTCTAACAAAGGGATGTGGAAGACAAGCTAGACGGGAATGCTAACTGTGGATGACAAGGTCAGGAACCTAAAAGATTGAAACCCACTAGGATGTGGGGCCAGATGGAGTTTAATAAGAATAAATGTAAAGTGCTACACTTGTACTTAAAAAAAATCATCATGAGTATGAGAGAGCGGAGGTATGCCTTGATAGTAGTTTGTCTTAAAAATACCTGGGAGTTTTAATCCAGTAATTTATATTGTTGGGAGGATAACTTGAAGGTATTTATAAAAGCAAACAGAAAAGGCTATCCTTCTAAGATTTTCATATCTGCATTATTTGTAATTGTAGAAAGTTAGAAGCAACCAAACATTAAGTTTTGGCGTATTGATATTGTACTATAATAAATTAGATAAACAAATATGAAGAATATGAAGAAATATGAAAAGACTGCTTTCTCTTTGGAATAGTGTAGGATGGAAAAACAGAATAACCAGAATGAATACTCACTGACTGTATAAAATAAAAAGTGAATGAGATAAGATGAATGAGGCTTAGAGGGAGTGACTGAAAAGTTATCACGTTTTTTGTATTCAGTTTCATTTATTAAGTTGTAAATGGTTGAAAAGAATTTAATTGGCTATATTGATGTTTAATAGGTAATTTGTAAATGTAGAACTCATGCTTATTTTTCAAGAGAAAAAATTATATTAGAGGCCTTGTTGCTTCTTCATCTGAACTCTTGAATCATATTCATTGAAGTTGCTGTGTTGAGTAGAGAGGCCTAGAATATATTATGAGTGCCAGAATGTATTGTCCTTAGATTCATTACGTTATAGTTTTCAATAGGGAACACTTTTACTTAAATAATGGAGAAATGGTTATATGCATATAATGCCTGAATATTTCCAATACTTCAGTTCTTCTATCTTTTTTGACTGTGGAGAAGCTTTATGTTATGCTAAATGAAAATTAACCTAACCCTTCAGGGTAACATTTTAACATTCAAACTTGGTCCAGTCACCACATTTCTTTCTAATTCTAAATACATTTCTGTGTCTTCTGGAGGGAAGATTGAAAGTTTTGATACTGAAAGTTCTAGAAGCTGAGGTTTTAATTTTCTTTGTGAAGTGTGTACTTAGAGAATATCATTCTAGATATAACAGAACTTGTGGAAATCCATCTGTAAGACACTGAAATTTCTACTTGTCATCTCTGTCAGTGTTTTATTCTATCTATGATTTTAGGTTTATGTATTGGACTGACTGGGGCGAAGTTCCAAAGATAGAACGTGCTGGGATGGATGGATCAAGTCGTTACATCATAATAAACACGGACATTTACTGGCCAAATGGATTGACTTTGGATTATGAGGAAGAAAAACTTTATTGGGCAGATGCGAAACTTAATTTTATCCACAAATCAAATCTGGATGGAACTAATCGGTAAGAATGTTTTTTTCAAATATTATAATACTTGTTTTTATTTTTAACTCTTAAAATTATTCAAAGAAGCAAGGATAAGAAAACTTGGTGGGGAGAAAGTATGTTTTGGGAAACTACGCAAAGGAAGGATTGACTTTTAATTTTATTCTTTGTTGGGAGGTGGCAGGCCAGAGTTTGGTGTATCCCTCAAGCTTCAAAGACTGATGGGAATTGGAACCCCCAGTCTCTGTAGCTTTTGGGGCAGATGAACTGCTTTAGTATCCTATCCTTTGTCCATCTCTTTTTGTTACCTCATTTCGCCTTTGTCTTACATCTACATTGATGTTGATGATAATTATATTTAAATAGCACTGTGAAGTTTGTAGAAATTTCTAGTGCTTTACATATATTTTTTCATTTTAGCCTCACAAAAGCCTTATGAGATAAGTACTATAGTAATTATCATCTCCATTTTAAAGATGAGAAAAGTAAGGCTATGAGAACTTAAGTTACAGCCATGAAGTGTTAGAATTGTTGAATGTAGTAAAGGCTCACTGCTGATGACAACTGGCCCATAGAGATGATTGGGAGTAGGAACTAAGGGCTAAAAGTATAGTGAATGTGCAAGTTATGGGATGCAATAAAGGGGAGTGGATGAACAGCTATATTTGGAGTCAGAAACCCTGTAATCAAATCCTGGCTTAATTTAATAATTCGCTAAGTCATTTGACCTTTCAGGTTTCAATTGCCTCATCTAAAAAGTGAGAGAGATGGACTAAATGACCTCTAAAGTCCCTTCTAGTCCTAAATCTTAGAACCCTGAGATTATTAGTGACTATTATAGGTGATTGCAGTGTTTCAGGCAGTGTTTCGAATATTCCTAATCTTGTTTTTTTTTCAATATTGAAGAGGATAAAATTAATAAAAATGTATAGATAATCTTTAAATTTGCTTCTCTCTTGTTTGAGTTCAATACCTGACTCAAAATTTCTCTTCCCTGCCTCACTCCTGCTCTTATACTAAGGGACTTTAACATAAATATTGACATTCCTTTAAATACTCTGTCCTCCCAGTCTTTCAGTCTACTCACTCCCAAGACCTATTGTTCCATTCTACTTCAGTTACACTCAGGCTTGGCCACACTTTGATCATGTCATCACCCACAGTCAATCAACAAGCATTTATTAAAGCTTGTTAATTGTGCCAGAGACTGTACTGAGCATTAGGAATACTGGGAAAGGGCAAAAAAACCTCAGGGTGCTCATATTCTAATGGAATAGTTTTATTAATAACTGTACATAAAAAGTAGGTGGAATCCCTATTACTGTAGAGGGCGACACCATCCTCCCATTCTCTCAGACCCACAATCTCAGAGTCATCCTCAACTCCTCATCTCTCAGCTGCTTATTTCTAGTCTTTTGCTGAGGCCTATCTGTTTCATCAAATATTCCCCCTTCTTTTTTCTGTCACTACCACCACTCTGGTGTAGGCCCTCATTGCTTCACAACTGAACTATTGCAGTAGCCTGCTGGTGGGTCTGCCTGCCTCAAGTCTATCCCCACTTCAATCCATCCTCCATCACCCACCAAAGTGCAGGTCTGATTATGTCACTCCCTGCTAAACTCCAGTGGTTCTCTATTGCATCCAGGATCAAATAAAAAAAATCCTCTTCTTGATATTCAAAGATATTCATAGACTAGCTCCCTCCTACCTTTCTAGACTTTCTTATACATTACTCACTAGTAGGTACTCTTTGATTCAGTTATATTGACCTCCTGGCTGTTCCATGAACAAGACACTTAAGGTCTCAGCTCCAGGCATTTTTTTCGGTCTCCCCTGCCTCTCCCTCCTTATCTTTGCCTGCTGACTTCCCTGGCTTCCTGTAAGTCGCACTGCAGGGGAAACTTTTCAATCCATTTCAATTTTAGTGCTTTCCCTCTGTTAATTATTCCCTATTTTTCCTGTATATAGCTTGTTTTGCATATACTAGTTTGTTATCTCCCTAATTAAATTGAGCTTCTTGAGGGCAAGGAACTGTCTTCTCCCTCTTTTTGTATCCCTAGAGCTTAGCAAAGTACCTAGCACATAGTAAGCAATTAATATATGTTTATTTATTGATTGAGGATAATCTTAGACGGTACTAGCAACAGTAGAGATTGGGAAGAGCTTCCTGAGCTGAGCCTTAAGGGAATCCAGGAGACAGAAGTAAAGAAGGAGAACATTCAAGACAATGTAAAACATGAGGTTGGAAGATATAGTGTGAGGGACAACAAGTAAGTCCGTGTAGCTAGATCATTGAATTTATGAAGGGGTACAAAGCATAAAAAGATAGAAAGGATGGAAGGGCCCAGCCAGGTCATGAAAGGCTTTAAATGCCAAATAACATGTTTCGTATTTAATTTTGGAAGTAGTAGGGAGCCCCTGGAGCTTATTGAGTAGGGTGAGAAGTGTGATGTGGTTAGATTCATGTTTTAGGAAAATCATTTTGGTAGCTAAACAGAGGATGGATAAAAATTGGAGAAACTTGACAAGGGAGACCAGTTAGAAAGAAGACTTAACTGTGGTACGAATAAAAGATGATGAAGGCTTGTAGTATAGCGTGTCTGAATTGAAAGGGACATATGCAAGAGATATTGTGAAGACAGAAACACAAGTTTTGAGAACAGATTGGATATGTGGAGTGAGTTCAAGATAATACTGTTGTTCATGTGACTTGAGAGTCCCAGTAACAATGGGAGAAAAAGGTCTCAGTGGCAGAGCTGTCCAGAGTCCTGGCCACAGTAAAGGATGGATCCTGAGTGGCATCTAGGCAGCCCAAATCACAGAAGGACAGCAGTAGCCAGGGCCAAACAATTCTTAGAGAAATAAAGGCCTGGTCTTGGCCAGGCCTGAACAGCTAAAAAAAGAATGGTAAAGAGAAATGATACCGTAGAACAGAAAGTGATAATCCTTATCTAAGTACTGTGAATTCTGTGAAAATTAAAAATAGCCCAAACATAAAACAGCAACTCAATGAAACCAAAAGAAATAATAAAATCAAAGGTGGGGGAAAAAAACTCAGAAGAGGGGCAACTAGGTGGCGCAGTGGATAGAGCACTGGCCCTGGAGTTAGGAGAACCTGGAGTGAAATCTGGCCTCAAACACATGATACTTACTAGCTGTGTGACCCTAGGCAGGTCACTTAACCCCAGTGGTGTCACAAAAAAACCCCCAAGAAAACGTAAGCTATAAAATATCAAAAACAGCTGATTTGGAAAATAGCTCAAGGAGAGATGATCTAAGAATTATTAGATTATCTGAAAATCATGACCAAAAATCCCCACCTAGATATAATATTTTATGAAATTATAAATGAAAACTGCCCAGAAATCTTAGAATCAGAGGGCAAAATAAAAAAAGAAGTAAACCAGTGGTTAACTCTTGAAAAGAAATCCCAAATTGATCACTTAGCCAAGGGAGGAAAGAACAGAGTCCAGGTCTGAGTAGTGATGATGGATTAGAAGAATCAAAGGTAGACAGTGATGAGTAATCAAATAACTAAATCTTGAGCCTGTACTATCCCAAGTTTTCTGTGTACTTTCAGCCTATAAAAACTCCTGTTTTTCAATTAGAGGAAAAATTAATTTTTATTCTGCTGTTATTAAGTATCAATTAGAGGTTTACTTATTTAAGAAAATTAGAGATATCAAGGGAATGTTTCATGCAAAAAGGGAATGATAAAGGACGAAAATGATAGGAACTTGAGAGAAGCAGACAAGATTAAGAAGAGGTGGCGAGAATATGCAAGAACTGTACGAGAAAGATCTTAACATCACCGATAACTATGATGGTGTGGTTGCTGATCGTAGAGCCATACATCTGGGAGAATGAAGTCAAATGGGCCTCAGGAAGCATTGCTAACAGGCTAGTAGAAGTGATGGAATTCCAGCTGAGCTATTTAAAATCCTGAAAGATGATAATGTTAAAATGCTGCACTCCGTGTGACAGTAAATTTGGAAAACTCAACAGTGGCTACTGGATTGGAAAAGATCAGTTTATATCTCAACCCTAAAGAAGGGCAATGCCAAAGAACATTCAGATTACTGAATAGGCTATTCCCCGGAAGGTCAGATAGTGAAGCTGAAGCGTAAATATGTTGGCCACATAATGAGAAGATGGAACTCATTGGAAAAGACTGATGTTGGGAAAGCTTGAAGGCAAAAGGAAAAGGGGATGGCAGAGGATTGAGATGGATAGATAGTGTCATGAAAACAACAAATTTGAACTTGGATAGACTTTTAGAATCAGAGGGCAGAAAGGCTTAGCTTACGATGGTCCAAGGAATCATGTAGAGTCAGCCATTATTGAATGACTGAACAGCAACAAGAGATTTACATTTTTTTTCCAATTCCCTTTACTCTCTAGCTTTTTGCATTTCTAATTTGGATATCACAACTATTCTTGATATAACTTATTTCTACATATTGCTCTTATGAGTTAGGGGAGTGATTTTTCTTTCTAGATTTATTTCTACTGAACTGAAGTCATTGGAAACTTTGATTATTGAATTAAAATTTTTTTCATCATTAAATTTTGTCTTAACTTTAAATGTTTTGGGACTGTATGTGTTCAAATCAGTATATGAACAGGAATTTATATATTTATGAAAATGAAAGTCAAAGACAAATCCCCAAACCAAAGTTTTGAAAACGCTTAAAAAACCCCAAAAACATCTAAAATTGTTCAGCAAAACAATAGCAAAAAGTGATTTTGTTAAAAAAAAAAAAGCAATAGGTTTTAACCTTAATACAGTTCTACTCACATTGTCTTTAACATGTTTTGTTGCTGTTTACTTTTACCTTTGTTTATGTAGTTATAGTCTATGTACGTGTTCATTTGCTATATTCACCTTGTATCACTTTATAACAGTCTTCATGTTTCCTTACATTCTTAATTTTTTGTTCCTTTAAAGTCTAAATTTGTAACTGTTACCTACATTAAAGAGTATGAATTTTTAAAACTCTTTCAGTGTAATAGACTTCCTTTGTAATCCTATGTATTTTATTTTATGCACTTTAAATCATTATTCTGAGGAGTCCATAGACTGCCAGTGGTGTCTATGACACAAAAACCTTAACACATGTCCTAGAAGATAGAGGAGAGACCTATTACTGATTCAGCTAGCCTTTAGTGGAATCCACAGTAGTCAATCAGTCATTCAGTAGGCATTTATCAATCATATCAGGCACTTTATTGGGTACCTTTAATATAAATACAAAGAATGAAACAATTCTTACTCTCAAAGAGTTAACTTTATAGTGGCTAGCCGGTAATCTCTTTTATTCTTCTTCTGAAGGAGTTTGCTTCAGGTGAAAGAATGGAAAGTAATAGGGGAAACTCTGTATTATACTAACTCCCAGGTGAATATTGGTTCAAAGAGTGATTGGAATCATGGGCATTCCCTCTGATCCCTGAAATTGGTGAATCTGGTGCCTGTTGCTCCATTCTCTGGTTCTAGGAATTTGTGATTTCTAGAACCCTTGTGGAGTAAGACCAGATCTACTAACTAGCTGTTGGCAGAAATTCTATTTTAGCTTCTTCATTTTCTGTCTGTTGTAAAGCATGCCTTCATGAAAATGCCTTTTATTTAGCTTATAGATTTTAAACCATATGTAGTAGATAGATTAAAGATATGTTTTTCGTTTTATGTCAGATCTGTGTTACTGTTGCCACGGGAGTTTTGGAGGTAATTTTGGTGAGTGGTTGTATTGTAGTAGTCAAATTATGGTAAAGTAAAAAGATTAAATCATTATTATTATTTTTTTTATATCTTAATAGACAGGCAGTGGTTAGAGGTTCCCTTCCACATCCCTTTGCCTTGACGTTGTTTGAAGACACACTATACTGGACTGACTGGAACACGCATTCCATCTTGGCCTGTAATAAATACACTGGGGAGGGGTTGCGTGAAGTCCATTCTAACATCTTCTCTCCCATGGATATACATGCTTTTAGCCAACAGAGGCAGCCAAATGGTAAGTGAGCTATATTTTTAAACTGTAAGTTGGAACTGTCACAATGTCTGTCTTCTGTGAGAAGTATTTGAAAAGATATCAAAATGTATCTTAAATCAGTGGAGTCAAACTGAAATAGAAATGGGCCACTAAACTGGGCTGCATATTGACTTAGAATATCACATATTAACATTATCTGTGTTCTATTGGATTTTTATTTATTTTGTGAAATATATCTTAATTACACTTTAATTGATTTTCTCCAGCACTCAGGAGATTTGCAGCCTATTGTCTGACCCCTCTGCCTTAGATTTTTCAGCATGATATATTTCTTTCCTTCCTGATCTCTTCTACTACTTACTGCCTTACAAACTCTGTGCCCTATCCCTTCCCCCCACTGTTTTTTTTAAAGGAAAAAAGGGGAGAAGGGAATTGAGATGGCCATAATGCCAAGTTTTTAGTCAGTGATTTTCTTAAGCTATTTCTATTTCTCCTCAGTGTTGAGACATGAAAAAAAAATTTAAGCCAATATTGTTCATGGAAATTTAGGCAGTGAACTTCAGTTAAGTAGTTCATTGAATTACCTACCAGCTTTAACTCTTCCATGATGTGACTGAAAAAAAAATTCTCATTCTTATTCAGTTAACCTTCACAGCCTCCAGCTGTGCTTAGTGGCTTGCTTCCCCTAATTTCCCTTCCCAACCAGTCAGATCTTAGACTGCCGATAGCCACACTGAAAAATTTGGGATTTGGGGCCAGGTCTAAAAGGAGAACAAGAATATGAATGTCTAGGCATGTGCATGTAAATATCTGGGCATTTATCTGAATGTAAGTGACTATATTCCAACACCTAATAGGAAGAAGTTTCGGATGTATATGTTGCTTTGTATTAATGGCACCTCTCCTCTCTCTTTTTGCTTCGAGATTATCAATGTTTGACCATATATTGTGTTGAATATTGCCTCTGGTGTATGATCTGGTGACCATAAAACATAATAGCTTCTTTAAACCTAGAATCTATTGTTTACAATTAAGGGAATTGCATACGGCTGCCAACATGAATTTTTAAATTATTACTATCATTTTACCCATATGACTTGTTCCCCCTTCTCCTCTAATAGAAACTGCAATAGAAACAACAAATTACCCATTCTTATTCCTGGCCTTCTTGTCCCTTAATGACATAACCATTGCTTTCTTCCAGCTCTGAGAACTTTTAGAGTCTTTTTTAATCTATGCTCAATCTCCTTTGTCATTCAGCAATCAAATTCTTTTGTTTTCCTCTAGAAATACCCTTGCCTTCCATATTTTCACCATCACTACATTAATCTAACTTGTCATCACTTCATACCTGAATTTCTCTAACATCTTAGTTGGTCTCCCCGACTCCACTCTCACTCCTATTTTCATTTCATGTAGTCTAATTGATCTTTCTAGAACATGGTATTATCATGGCATTATCCCCTGTTGGAAAAGCACTAATGGTTCCCTCTTACCTATCTTATCAGTTGAAATTCCTGTCTTTCATTACCCTTTGATCTGCCTCTCCTCTACCAATGCAACCTTATTTTCACTATTCCTCAGTATATTTCGGCTTCAGTCAGACTAATTTCCTTGCTATACCACCCAAATTTCTACCTCCATGCTTTTTTTCATGCTCTCTTTCTCACCTGAAGTGTTTCCCTTACTTGCTTCACTTCCTTTTTAACTATTACTATTCTGCTTATCTTTCAAGATTCAGTTCATTTCATCTCTTCAGTGATGCCCTCCTGATTATTTCCCCACACTATACAACTTTGTAATTCTAGTCTACCTGGTATTTGAAATTTGTTTTGTATGTGCTGTTCCTTAACTAGATTGTTAACATGTCTTCTGTTTTTCTTGTGTTGTTCACAGTGCTGAGCTGAGCACCAAGTCTGTGCTGAAAAAAACACTTGATTAATTAATTCTTTTCCTACACAGAACAGTTATTCACAGAATAGTGTTACCTTTGTCTGTCCAAATGACAAAAGATTATTCTTGATTATTAATATTAATCCATGTGATTTATATCTGACAGCTACAAACCCATGTGGAGTTGATAATGGTGGTTGCTCCCACTTGTGTCTGATGTCTCCAGTCAAGCCTTTTTATCAGTGTGCCTGTCCAACTGGAGTGAAACTCCTTGAGAATGGGAAAACCTGCAAAGATGGTAAGGAAATGGCTTCTTAGAAGAACTTTGAATTGGCAGTTGGGATTTCCTGTGCCATTTTCTCCCTTTTCCTATATTCAGTGCTATACCTTGCAGTGTCTCTTGCATGATTGAGTCACTTTAATCTCTGTCTTAAGATAAAGATGTCTTTTTTAAAGAAAAAAGAAAAGAAAAAAGATAATGATGCCTTTTTTTAGCAGGTCTGTTTTTATTATTTTGTGACAGCATTTAAAGATACTTAGAATTTTTTTGAGATGAATGATCTGCTGTTGCTGTTTTCCAATTCTAATTAGCTATAATATCAGGCAAATTACAGCGGAAATTACTTTTGCTTCTTAAGAAAAATACTCAAAATAGGTGTTCCTTAAGGTCTGTTTTCATGAAAAAAGGTTTCTTTTTTAATAGAGAATGTTTGTAGTACTGATATGATTTTTGATAAATGCTTCTTGAAGGTTTCTTATAAATTTCCATGTCAGTTGGCTTTGTTTGTATGGATGCTTTTGCATTGTTCAAGGACTTGAAGACAAAACTTTAAATCTGACTGTGATGCTGCTTTAGCTAACTGTAGCTTAGAATCTCCTAAAAATTTTAATGGTATCTTTGGTTTTTATATCACTTTCATATCCCAGTATATTTTTCCTCCCTCCCTTCAGTCAGAGCTATCCCTGTAACAAAGAATAAAAAGAGGGGCAGCTAGGTGGCACAGTGGATAAAGCACCAGCCCTGGATTCAGGAGGACCTGAGTTCAAATCCAGCCTCAGACACCTAACACTTACTAGCTGTGTGACCCTGGGCAAGTCACTTAACCCCGTTGCCTAACCAAAAAAAAAAACAAAAACAAAAACAAAAAAAAGAATAAAGAGAGAAACTTACTTAGAATCTTTATTTTTAATATCACTGTTGATTTTGGGCCATTTTCAAAAACTTTTAAAAACGTGTAATTTTCCCACATTCTGCACAGTAATAGCTCAAGTTTAAATGAGGTTAGAAGTTGGCATCCCTTGATCAAATGAAGGTCTAGGACAGAGTCCTCAGGCGGGTCCACAGGTTTCCAGGTAGGGAAAAGAAGAGAAATGAGCATAGAAGACCAAGAAGAGAGTTTGAGCAGGTAAAAACTGAGAATATGAAGAGAAAAAAGCTTTTAAGTTTTAGTGTACTAAAGCAGCCATAATTGTCACTTACTTAATTTGCTCTTCTCCCCTCATACTTTGATGGTTCCAAAGAAAGCATAATTTACAGGAATTTATAGGAAAAGAGGATTATGGGTTTTTTATTTGGAGATTCTGGATATCTGGCTAAGGGAATGTGTAGAAACCGGTACTACTATCTTCCTCTTTCTCCATCCTTCTCAGTATTGTTCTTAATCCCTCACGCTCATGGAAACCTGTTTTGGGTCTTCTTGGTCTCCTTTGGGATGTAAGGGAGAGCCCTTGACAGGTTATGTGAGGGTTTTTTCCTCTTCTAACTTTAAAAAGCTCAGGCCTTTATTGAGGAGTACATCAGTGGGGATTTGCTGGCAAGGAGGTCATGGAATGGGATGGATAAAATTGTATTTATTTGCAACATGTTTGTAATGATTTGGCATTGATAAGTGATTCTTGTAGCCAAAGGTGAATTGGCTGAGTCTGGTCAAATAGTTTCCATGGTGAACAATATTTTTCATTTCAGTTTGTAACAAAGGGTTTTTGTAGTGGTACTTTTTTGTTTTTTAAAAAATGTAGCACAACTTTAGGAAGAGTTTATCTTAATATTTGTAATTTGTCGATTCACTTACTGTAGAGTATTTATTTTTTGCTGTATTTCATATATGTGACTTGGCATGCCCTGACATTAGTGTTCAGTTTTTAATCACCTTTCCAAAGTCAACAATGCCTCCCTCCTCCTTTTCCCTCCTTTGCTTGCAAAAGTTTGAGCCTGGTTTATTTTGAAGTTGAGCAGAGCCTTGAACTGAAAATGGGTCAGTGAAGAATACCAAGGTCTTTTCTTCTCTATTGCAGTCTTCTGATGTTGCTTTTGATTTTATGTAGTTACTTGGGCTTAATTCTGTTTTGTCCAATTAAAATTAATGACACTAACACAGAACAAATATGACATATCTTAGTAAACATCACTCCTTTTGTTGGTAAAGGTGAATTTAACTCAAGTCCTAATTTGAGGATGGTTTTTGTGTCCCAGTCCACAGGGTCTCATATCCTAGTCCCAGTTAGTCTTTTCAGCAGCGAAAGCTGCCAACATTAAAGACTGTATTCCAGATTTAATGAGACCTGTTGATTTGTTGTTTTCAGTGAATGCATTCTCTGTCTCTCTGAGCAGCATCTCTCACTGGACCATGTTGCTTCCCCTTCATATCCTCTTCTCAAACCATCATAAGCACCTTCAACTACAAGTGTTTTTTTTCCTTCTGGTCCCCAAAAAGTTGTGATGTCTAATATGGTAATTTAAAATTTTCTCTTCAGTATTCTAGGACCAAGGTTCAAGTTGTTTTTGTAATTATTCTTTCTAGGAGCAACTGAGTTATTGCTTTTAGCCCGAAGGACAGACTTGAGGCGGATTTCCTTGGATACGCCAGACTTTACAGATATTGTTCTACAGCTAGAAGACATCCGCCATGCAATTGCCATAGACTATGATCCTTTGGAAGGATACATCTACTGGACTGATGATGAAGTGAGAGCTATACGTCGATCTTTCATAGATGGATCTGGCAGTCAGTTTGTGGTGACAGCTCAAATTGCTCACCCTGATGGCATTGCAGTGGATTGGGTTGCAAGGAACCTTTATTGGACAGACACAGGCACTGACCGAATAGAGGTGACGAGGCTCAATGGAACTATGAGAAAGATTTTGATTTCAGAGGACTTGGAGGAACCCCGAGCTATAGTGCTGGACCCAATGGTTGGGTAAGAACCTGCTGCTGCTAGTCAGTTTCCCTATCTTGTTGCTTATTTTAATTTTTCTCAAAAAAATGTTGTTGGGACAAAATGGGATAGATTGGCAGCAAATAAACAGTGGTATTTTAATAAATTCTTTATTGGCTATCCATTCTCCATGTTGTATTGGTTAGAGTAGAATTCTTAGGTTAAATAGTTTCATTTCCCAGAATATATTGCATACCTTTCTTTCTTAAATTAGTTCCATGTTTGCTGGCTTCTGGTATTAGTTTCACGTTTTCTACTATGACCGTAAAAAATGTGGGATGAAATTATTTTCTCCCCCATAGATTTAATTTTCATAACTTTCCCAGAGTACCCAAAGCCATGTTTATGATATGTCCTATACCTTATTTTTATTATTTAGTGAATGAATTATTTTTTCCCTTGGTCAATATTGCCAGTTTATTTGATGTTATTTTGGAGGATGAGATAGTTTCAAATAAATAGTATAAACCAATATAATGTGCTTGTTATTTTAGTCTGGGAAACAATTTTTTAAAAATTTTCCAGCTTCTAAAAAATTTTCCCCATTTAATATACCTACTCACTAACATTATTTGTGTAATGAACATGTTTGTCGAGTGCTAACTGTATGAAAAGACTATACTTGTACACATAGACACATCCTAACTTTCAAAGAGTTTACAGTCTTACAGTACAATATAATTGGTTCATTCTTATATTCACTCTTAGGAAAGAGGCATTGATGTGTTGTAATGCTGGTTTGAATAAAACATCTCAGCAATTAAAATTCCAGGTAGTTACAAGAGGAAAGTAGGACTGTAGGAAACACTTATTTTGAGAATTCAGTTTTTTATCAGAGTCTGTGACTGGAATGTTAATTTTGGTAATGACTAGATAATGTATTGAACATCTAGGAAAATGCACATTAAACAGTAAGAAACAAGTTGGACAATGTGACCTGAGTAAATAATAGAATTTTAGAATTGGAAGGGACTTAAGAGATTAGCTACTAGTAAATGCTATTTGAATTTAAGTTCTTCTGCCAGTTCTTTTACTAGTTACAATGAGTTATATATTCCTGTATTAAGAATTTAGTCTGTTTTATAAATCCCTAGTGTTTTTTCCTTGGTAGATATTTTCTGATTATACCAGTGGCATTTTGGAAGAGGATATAAACACTGAGATCTCTGAAGGGATAATTAATTTTAAATCCATGTTCTGTGTATTTCTATAGGTATATGTATTGGACAGATTGGGGAGAGATCCCCAAAATTGAGCGAGCAGCTTTGGATGGGTCTGATCGAGTAGTTTTGGTGAATACGTCTCTTGGTTGGCCAAATGGTTTAGCTCTGGATTATGATGAAGATAAAATATACTGGGGAGATGCCAAAACAGACAAGATTGAGGTTTGTTTCCAAATTTTTCCACTTTAAACCAGTTTTATAGTAGTTTTTAAAGTAGATAAATACTTAATGAATTAGTGAGTCCACTCCTGATTTTCCAGAGTATCTGGAGTGATTGTCATGAAGATGTCTTTGAAGAGGCAGGATTCTCAGGGTAATAGACATATGTAGTTATCCCTTAGGTTCAAAACTCCAGCTTCACAAATACAGAATGGGGAACATGTTCTAGAAAAATGTTACTATGAAAGATATCTGGAGGTTTAGTGGATTATGTGCTTAATATGAACCACTAGACCTAAAGAGATATCCTGAGTGCCAAAAAAGCTAATGTTTTCCAAGGCTGTATTAAATCTTACAGGGTTCTAGATGGCCTAAAGTAATGGAAGTAAGAGTTTTCTCTTCTCTACTTTGCTTTGGTCAGACCACATTTGGTGTACTTCATAGAATTCTATTTACCATATTTTAACAAAGACAGGTGGGAGCATGTCCAAAGAGGATCATCAGTATAGTAAGAGGGCCATAAGATATAAAAGGATCTATTGGAAGGAACTGGAGATATTTAGCCAAGAGGAGCAAAGAGTTGGGAAGGAATCAAGTGAGTAAGGAGTGACAGAAAAGTTGTCTTCAAGCACTTGAAGGGTTGTCATGTTAAGGGAGGGACTAGACTTATAGTTGGGCCCACAGTGTACAGCTAGGAGAAAGAAGTAAAAGTTTCAGAGACAGATTTTGGTTTGATAAAATTAAAAAAAAAAAAAGCAACTTACTAAGAGAGCCTTTTACAAGTAGAATGGGCCTCCCCAGGAGGAAGTGGGATCCCCTGTGCTGTAGTTCTTTAAGCAGAAGCTGGATGACTACTTGTTGAAGATGTTGTAGAGAGACTTCTTATTCAGATAGGATGTAGCATAGATGGCTTCTGAAGTCCCTTCTTAGATGGCTGTAATTCTTCCTTAGCACATCATCCTTAGCTCCCTGTGGCATTTGAGAAACTAAATGTTCACTGATTTTTATTTTCTTTAAAGTTCAAATTTTTTTTTTGTTTACAAACTCCAGGTTGTCTGGTAACAATTTCTGTAAAAGCTAGCACCTAGCAGTGTAACATGCAGGTTTTAGGCAAGCAATTGATGTCACATTGTCTTAAATTTTTGAATATTTGAAGTAAGAACTATATCGGAGGAGCCAGCAGTATCATATTGACTTTTTTAAGGAGACCAAAACCAACATAAACATATATTTAAAGAATTTGTTGCAACTTAATATGAATTCATTAAATCAATTTTAAAATATTTTTAGGTCTTAGGAGGAAGAATAGTTTAGAGCAAAATATTTACAAAATCATAGAACCAGCTTTGAAAATGAGAATACTATTATGCTGAAGATGGAAAAATCTTTTAAAGTGGATCCTTACATTTAAATAAATGTCCTTTTAACATGTTCCTGTTGAATATTCTGTGACAGAATTTTATAAATTTATTTCAACAAATTTTAGGCAACTCATATATTTTAGGTGAGCAGTTGAGTGGCATAGTAGATAGAGCACCAGACCTGGAGTCAGGAAGACCTGAGTTCAAATTTGGCCTCAGACACTTATTAGTATGTGATCCTGAGCAAGTCATTAATTCTGCCTCTGTTTCATCATCTGTCACGTTTCACTGTGATGTTTCATTGATTTTTGTTTATTGAAATGGGTGGCAGTTATAGTGAAGAGGGCTACTTAATGACTTCAGGTTTTATATTTCATTTCTTTTTTTCTGTTACTGCTGCCAAACATGTCTACCAGCCATAGATAAGAGGATTCGGCCATTATTTTGGTCTAGTTGTCTTTATTACTTAATCCCTTCTCTTTAAGGGAAGCATTGTCCATATTGGTCGTACTGAATCTAAACACATCTAATAAAACTTCTGTGAAACAGAGAGGCTGCTTGGTTTCAAGAAGTTTTGAAGAGGATATGATGAATATTAAAAGCTTGACATCTAGTAAGTGTTCTATTTCATATTGAAATTATGAAATTGTAGGGTGACATTTTCTGGTGATGATAGCTTTCTGTAATTCAAGGGTGGGTAACCTGCGGCCACATATGCCCTCTTATTCCTCAAGTGGGGCCTTTTGCCTGAATCCAAACTTTGTTCTGTGAAGTTAGATTCAGTCAAAGGGCTTTACTTTGAGGACCTAGAGGACCTTGTGTAGGAGGCTGCAGGTTTCCCACCGCTGCGTCTAATCTATTAGTACCCTAAGAAGGAAATTTGTTTCCTGAGCATGCAGATTTTTGAAAAACATATTATTTGCTTGAGATTCTTAGCCCATGTATTTTAAAAGTCTACATATGTACAAGGACCTTTTGAGTCTTCCTAATTTCAATATATTCATAGATTTATCTGCTTTCAAAATTTGTGAGAAAGCTTTTGTTTCCGTAACAAATATACAAAAGTATTGTCTTATAAATTAGTGTCAGCTTATCTCTAGTTCCTTAAAATACTTTGAGTGTTTGTAGCATTTGACTGGTTATTGAGATAGTTGACTTTAATGTATCTGCATCTTAACTTTTGTGCTATCTGCTCTGTGACACATGTATTAAAAAAAAATCTTAGCATACATCCTGTAGAGTCAGTAAGTTTCATTGTTTAGTTGATAAAACAGCAAAATATTTGGTTGATTTGTAAGACTTAGTTGAACTGTTAATGTGGATCTGTCATACAACTTTTTATGTAATTATTATTGTAAGTATACCTTAATGTTAATTGGATTTATTCACTCATATTTGAAAGCTACCTGTTGATATATCCTCTTAGCAAATTATTTTGCCCATTGTGACTATCTTGTAATTATAAAACTTGAGATTTGGAAATAGTAATTGTATTGTCCAACTCTAGCCATGATTCCCACTACAATATTTCTGACAAATTGCCATCCATCCCCTCCAGTGGGCGGAAAGTCTCCACTGCCTGAGACAACCTATTCCATTTTGGACAGCTGTAATTGCTAGAAAATTTTCCCTGACATCAAACCAAAATTGTTTCTTTTAAACTTCTACCCATTACTACTGTTTCTGCCTATTGAGGCTAAACAGAATAAGAACAAAAATATTTGGAGAAAACCTTTTTCTCCCCCTGAGTTTTCTCTTTCCAAGCTGAACATCTTTATTTCATAGCATCATAGGATCAAAAAATCTTAGGTCTGGAGCTGGAATGGCCCTTGGAGGCCATGTCTTCCAGTTATCTCATTTTACAGTTGAGGAAACTGAAGTCCAAGCATGATCAGTGGCTTGCCCAAGGTTGTACAAGAAATGTTTTAGAGGTGGGATGAGATGTTACAACCAGTGCTCTTTTCATTCTGTCATGCTTCAACCTATTTTCCTGTGACATGAACTCAAGATCTCACAATTCTGGTTGCTTCTTTCTCCTTGTTCTCCAGCTTATCAATGCCTGGACCATGACAGTATACATCTCCTTATTCCTGGAAGATATACCTCTCCTTGCTCTAGTAGCTTAGTAGCCCTTTCACAAGAGGCTCATCTGGCATGACCTGTTCTTTTTGAAGCCACACTGACTCTGTAATTATCACTTCCTTTTCCAGATGTTCATTAACTCTTTAACAGTCTGTTCTAGCATTTTACCAGAATTGAAGTTAAGCTTTCTGGCCTATAGTTTTCAGATGGTTCTTTTTGTAAAATCAGGACATTTCCTCTTTTCTTATCCTTCTACGCTTATACTTATTTCTGAGGGTTTTCCAGTGTTCCATACAGTGGTTTCATAGTCATATCTCCAGTTCTTTCTGTACTGTAGGGAATAGATAGTTCATCTGGGACAGGTGACTTGACTTGCGCTTATCGATAGTGACTAGACCCTCTCTTATTATCCTTATTAATCTTGGGTGTCGACTCCCTGGTAGCCATTTTTATTTTGTTATCTCCAATGCAGAGATTATTCTCTTTAGTAGAGAAAATAGAAGCAAAGTAAGACTTTGTCCCTCATCAGATATTATTGACCTGTCCATCCCAAGTGATTCTGTCTTATTGTTAACTCTCCTCTTTTCCCTAGTATGGCTCAAAATCTTTTTTATTTTTCTTAGTTTCCCTCCCTAGGCTCAGCTCATTCTGAACTTTATTGCTTAGTGCTTCTTTTCATAGTATTGTGCCATGTTCATATAAACATCTTCTGTTATTTTCTATACGTATCATTTGTCTTTTCTGTACATATCATTTAGAAATCTAAGTTGGTTGTTAAGTTCCCTGTTAATTCACAATTGCATCTTTGGATTATAACTTCCACTTTGCTTGTTCTCTGGAATTGTTTGTGCCTTTAGAGTCTGATTCTTGAGAGTGCCCTGTCCTACCTAGGCTGACTTCCCTAATAGAATTGTGGTCCATATCATTCCTCTGAACCTAATGAAATGTCAGACTTAGCTTGGCTTTCTTTTTCTATCACAAACTTTAGGAGGTTGTGGTTACTTTTTCCCCATGATGTTTTCATTATTTCTACCTAGCATCTAATTCTTCTTTCTTAGTGAAAATCAGATTCAGTGTAAAAAATTCCCTGCTTCCTTGACCTTTTGAAGGATGAGATTATTAAGGCAAGTCAGGAAGTGATTAACTACACTGCTTCCCAGCATACGTCAAGATAATTGAAGTTTTCTAACACTACTCTATCATGGTTCTGTGCCAGGATTGTGATGTGTTTGTCAGACTCCTATGACCTTTTTCTTTCTTGGTGTTTTGTAGCATACTCAGATGAAAAAAATTGTTTGTTTTCTGTTCTACATTGATTTTTTTTACCCAAATGCCCTCCATCATGCTTCCCTCACCTTTGTTTACTGTATTTCCTCACAAGGATACTTTAATATACAAATCTGATATCTCCTTCCTTCTCCTCCCCACTTTTTGCCTGTCCTGTTCCTTTTAAATAGGATTTACTTATCCAGAGACATATTCCAATTATAGATTTCATCCCATCAGGTCTCAGTGATACTTATGTGAGGGTGTGGACATTTTAATCACATTCTTAGCATG